CACTAGTGCAGGTTTGCGCGCGCATCACACAACTTGGCTTCAACGCCGCAAACACTGTGATAAAATCTATCTCCCCTAGGCCAAAAGGCTTTGTTGAATTGAAGGCGGACCACAACGCGTTGAAGCTGATTGCTGAAGAGCAGCGCTGCTACGAAGAAGCCACTCCGGGTTCACCAGTACCTAATGCAAATGAAACAGGGATCCTGCCATCGAGCTCGTCCACGAGGGCACCGATGTCCACGTCGAAACTGGCAAGCACCATAAACAAATCTTGCCACACCAAAAAGGGTTAAAACCTGCTGGCTTCGCGCTCACACGGTTAGCACACTCGCACAACGGGCGACACCTTACCAACCTCATGCTCGTCGTGCCCTCCTCGTTATCCCCCAACCCTGTCTCCGCAACGCAATGCCACGCCAATGCGGCTATGTGCCTATCCCGCATCTTCGCCCACTCACCTGAGCGCCGATGCGATGCGCTGAACCACAGCCGCACCAATACTCTGTGGCCAACGACACTCAACACACAAATCTTTGCCAAAAACACAGCGAGCACACGGGTGCATGGATAGAGGAAGACACAACGTCATAATCAAGAAACTTTCGGAGCTCCGCGCAGACTTCTTGGATCGGGGCTGAACACTACTCCCTGGCGCGCGGAGTGCGCCAGGGGCAGCGCTGGAAGCGCCGCCAGGTGGGCCCCAACGCCCATCCAAGAAACCCGCGGGGAGCTCCTACACTTTGTATTTCTTCGAATGGGGAAGGTCTACGAGTCACATTCGCCAGGGTCGTGTGGTCAAACATGCAACATCACAAAACGAACTCATGGTTTCATGAGGAAGGCCTAATTAAGAGCCCAAACCCTCGACATCACGACCTGTTTCACAAATTCGACCCGTAGAGGTCTTGACCCACTCCCTGGGACTGGCTGTTCATCCTGAGCCGTTTTCTGACGGTCCTGGGGCTCGGCGAATGGCCCCAAGAGACCGAAATAGCAAGAAACGATCCGTCATGATTTTTGTCCACGACGCGAGAGGGTCTGGGGAAGAAGAGCGGCACCAACTCCGTCGAGCAGGGCCACCGCCGGACCCGAGCCGCGTCCCCTGGTCAGAGGCCTCGAGGGACCTCGGGCGGGGCACTGAGAACGAGCGGCAGCGCAAGGCCCTGCTTGGCCCAGCAACCCTGGCGAAGGTGACTCGCAGACCTGCCACATGCACCCCCCCAGTAAAGACTTCGGGTTGCGCGCAGACAGCGCCCCAAAGTAACCCCCGGCTGGCCTCAACAGGCCCCCCCTGCCAGTCCGGGGCGGTCTTAACACCCATACCAAAGGACGGTCTCAACACCCCGGCGCCGCCTCTCGCGTTGACCCTAGGGCGCTCTGCTCCCCAGGGTTGGGGTGATGACACCGCTCCACACTATTCGAGGGGCCCGTTGAGGCCAGCTGGGACTACTCGGGTGGCCTCTTGCTGCGGGCAGTCTTCGGGAGCTCTGTGCGCAACACGAAATCTTTATTGGGAGGGGGTCCATGGGGCAGGTCTGCGAGTCACCTTCGCCAGGGCGTCGCTGGGCCGAACAGGCTCTCGTGGTGCCGCTCGTTCTCAGTGCCCCGCCCGAGGCTCCTCGAGGCCTTTGACTTGAGGCAGGAAAGGGGTATGGTATAAAGGGGTGTGGTGTGAATTTCATGTAAAGGGGACTCTGGCGATGTCACTCATCGCAGATAGCATCGCAACTTCCACGATTGGCACCTCCAGACTCTGGCCAGGGCGCGGCTCGGGCCCAGCGGCGGCCCTGCTTGACGGAGCTGCCTCGCATCGTGGACAAAGGTCACCATCTGGGCGGGTCATCGGCAACCTTTACCAGGCATCGCACTTGAGCACCCCAAGGGGGCCACTCGTGAGGATGTCTCCAGCGGGGTCCTCGTTTGTGAGTGAACTGCGAGGAAGTCTCAGGCGGGAGCCCTCTCCCTATCTGGCCCGCCCCTTCTGTTTGCAATCCGAGCGGGTCATCGGCAAACTTTGCCAGGCATCGCACTTGAGCACCCCAAGGGGGCAAATCGTCAGGATGTCTCCAACAGGGGGCCTCGTTTGTGAGTGAATTGCGAGGAAATCTCGGGCGGGAGCCCCTGCATATGAGGCCCGCACTTCATGTTCAAATCCGAGCGGCTCATCGGCAAACTCTACCAGGCATCGCTCTGGCAAATCGTGAGGATTTCTCTAGCGGGAGACTCGTTTGTAAGTGAATGCGAGGAAATCTCAGGCGGGAGCGAGTTACCTATGAGGCCCCCTCTTCGTGGTCGAATCCGAACAGGTCATCGGAATCATCTACCCGGCATAGCATTTGAGCACCCCAAGGGTCAACTCGTGAGGATGTCTCGAGTGGGGGCATCGCTTGTGAATGAACATCAAAGAGATATCAGGTGGGACCCCCCCCCCTACGGGGCCCGTACTTCATGTTCGAGTCCGAGCGGGTCATCGGATCATCGACCAGGCGGAGCACTTGAGCACCCCAAGGGGGCAAATCATGATGATGCCTCGAGCGGGGGCTTCGTCTGTGAATCATTTGCGAAATAAATTCAGGCGCCGGCCCAACGGGCCAGAGGCATGCTAAGATCTCCGGTAACTGTTTAACAATTCTCTAGTTCGCGCGCGCGGGGCGGCCCCTGGGGGTCCCCGGACGAAAAGTACCCCAGGCGGGTCCCGGCTGATCCCCAGGCGACTCCACCAGAGCGCTCCATGAGCGCACCAACAGGGTTCCGAGACGTCCCCGAGAGCCCCAAGAAAGGCCAAGAGGCCCCCAAGAGGCCCCCAAGATGGTACACGAGGGGTCCGACATGCCACAAGATCGCTCCAAGACGCCCAAGATAGCCCCCAGACGCCCCAAGAGGCCTCCAAGAGCACCCCCAAGAGGGCCCCAGGAGGCAAAATTCATGGCTTTTCCGTCGGTTTTTGAAAGATTTTGGAGCTTCCACCTTTTCGGCTTCCCGACGCCCCAAGACGGCCCAAGAGGCCCCCAAGATCGCCCCAAGAGGGCCCAAGAGGCCCCCAAGAGGGCCCCAAGATGGCCCAAGAGGGCTCGAAGACGGCCCAAGAAGCCTCCAAGACGGTCCAAAAGGGCCCCAAGAACGCCCCCAAAGGGGCCCCAGAGAGGGAACACGAAACAACATTTCGAGCCCTCGGCCCTAAGAAGCCCCCACGAGGCCCCAAGAGGCCCCTAAGAGGCCCCAAGAGGCCCCCACGAGGCCCTCAGGAGGCCCCCAAGAGTCCCCCAAGCGGCCCCAGGAGGCCCCCCAAATGCCCCCCCGAGCACGCAAGCAAGTGCAAGCGATGCTACAATGTGCTCTCCTTTCGGTAGACTCCCAACGGGGCCCCTACAGACTTGCAACAAGCGTCAAGAACCTGCCCAAAAAGCACTGTCCAGGAGCGTTCACAAGTGCCGCGAAGAAGCCCTCCTTACGCCGGAAAGCCCGGAAAGCCGGGTGGGGTGAGCTGTTCTTCTCACCACCGCGCCCTCTCACACAATGGCTTCCGCACGCCGCCCAGAGCGCGACGTTCGGCTCATGCCCCCAGAACGCTCCAGGAGCGCGCCAAAACGGCACCGGAACGCCCCCGAAACAATCCAAGCGGCCTCAAGTCGCCGAACAATCGTTCCAAATCGCCCAAGATGACCTCAAAATTGCCGTCGAGGCCGCCAAGAAGCCCCAAGAGAGCCTCAAGAGGCCCTCCAAGACGGCCATTACAATCAAAAATTGCCCCATTCCCAGAAGAACATGCACACTTCCCGCATGAACGGCGTTTCGAGTTTCACAGCGCCTCAAACTACGCAAATATCCCCCAACATCGCCCCGGGACAGCCCAACAATCCGCTAAAATCGGCCCAAGACGGCCCAAGATAACCCCAAGACGGCACAAGAGAGCACCAAGACCGCCCAAGAGGCGCCCAAAGGGGGATTCTGCCCCTAGGAGCACCTCAGAAGCCACCAACATCCCGCCAATAAATCCCCCAAGACGCCCCAAGAACCACCCAAGAAGCCCAACAAGAAGCCCCAACGACCCCCGAACGGCCCTTACGGGGTCTCAAGAGGCTTCAACACTGCCTCCAAGAGGTTCCCGAGACGCCTGGCAAAAGAACCCCCAAATCGCCGCATTGACACCAGGCCCTCGGGCAAACGGCAGACATGAGACTGTATGGGCCGGCGGAATGAGCGAAGCGATTAAATCCGCCGGCCCCCTTGTGGGGCCACCAGGCTGCGAGGCGTGTGATTCGCAGTTTCCTGTACCAGTTGTAGTTTGTAGTTTCCAGTGTTACAGTTCTGCTTCTTGCTGGTTACTGTAACTAATTGACTGATTGCTGGTTACTGTAACTAGTTGATTGACCGCGCGAGGGGGGGGGAGGCCCAAACAGGATTTTTTAGCACCCCCTGTGCGCGTTGTCTGAATTGCTGGGGGGGCTCGAAATCGACACCCCTCACGCAGATCGGCGGGGTCAGGGTCCAAAAACACAGGAGATGTGCCACACTTCTGAAATTCGGTGCCACCCCTCATGCAAATCCGCGGGGTCAGGGTCCAAAAACACAGGGGATTTGCCACATTTCTGAAATTCGGTGCCACCCCTCACGCAGATCTGCAGGGTCAGTGCACGCGCACCCACCCCCCTTGCGGAGAAAGGGGGGAGGTGAGGGTCGCTCTTTTTCATGAGCAACAAAGGGCTGCAGGATTTCCTGGATCCTCCAGGACAGTCTGACTATATTTTATATAATCACATATCTATGTAAAACTACAAACTTCCTAGCACCTCTCCTTGGGCGCGGGAAGCGGCTCGGCCTCCAGCCGAGAAAAGTGAGCCGTAGGGAAACCTCTTTGTGCTCCCCTGGCAGGCCTTGCAACGGCGCTGGCCACCTAAACTCACCGCGGGGCTACCCGCAGAGGGCAGGCGCGGGGCAAACCGCAGCCTGTAAAACAAAGCTCACCTTCGGCTGTCGTAGTGCTTCCTGCGACCATTCTCCTAGCCCTCTCCGTGGATCACCTGAGAGCCTCTGGAACGGTCTCGGCACTCGCCCTTGAACGTCTCGATCCACTTCTGCGCGGCCTCTGGACTGCTGATGTCCTGCAAGCTGAGCTTGGCAAGAGGTCCATACGCTGTAGCCATCACCCGCAGCTGCTCGATCTCTTTGGCCTGGCGATCCGACAGAACACATCCGTGCTTGATCATCCTCGTGACCAGGTCTTCCTTGATCCCTGACACGGCCAGGCCCTTGGCCTTCAAGACAGCTCGCAGCTCGGCTACAAGAAACGTGCTTAAGAGCTTGTGCCTTGCACCTTTGTCCTGCTGTGCACACACGGTCTTGAACTCGACGTCAGCCCGCGCAGATGGTGGGCAAGTGCTTCCAGAGGCGGGGCTAACCGCACCCTGGAGGAGGAACTTGTCGTAGAAGTTCTTGAAGTAGCAACCACACCAGCACCCCAGTAAGAAAGCACTCGCTGCAGTCACCACAACAAGTCCCAACATCAGGTAGAACCAGAACTCCTCGCTGTCCACGTAGTGGCTGACAGGCGCGGGGCAAACCGCAACCTCGTCAGAACCTCCGTACACTGTCACCTTCTCGCCTGACGCCTTCGTCACGACCTCCGTGAAAACTGCCATTGCGCTCAAGCCCGTCAACTGCTTTCCGAACCTGAGGTTGAGAGTGGTGCAATGCTTCTCGATTGTCGGCCACTCGCTGTACTTCGTGAGCATGTCGGCTGTCATCTTGCTGGTGTCCTCCTTGTGAAGCTCGAACGCCTTGAGACGCAACCGCTCCTGAATCCACAAGTACCTCAGCTCCAGATGCCTGACCTTGCCCACCCCAACTCGGCTGCACATGCCACGTCCAGCTGTGCTGTCACTATAGATCTTCAGGTTGCAGGGCCTCTGGGTCTCGATCAGGTAAGTCTTACACTGAAGTCCTCTGGCTGTCGCACTTCCCGTAGCATACATCTCGGATTCCCCTGAACTTAGGGCTATCGTACTCTGCGTCACTGAGTAGCAGTCCCAAGTGTGGTCACCATACCTCACAGCTCCTCCACTGGTAGATCGCCGCTGTAGTTCACTCGTAGGTGCCCAATCCGCGTCACCATCTACACGAATGCCTTCAGGAGTACCTTGAAGTGGGTAACACCAGACCAACACAGGCTGTCCTTCGTAGTACCTTCCAAGTCGCTGAACACGCGCATGCATCAAGACGTTCGGGTTGGAGACGTGCTGCATCGCTGTCTTGCTGGCGTACATCGTGTCGGGCCTGTCCGAAGAAAGGTAAAGAGCGGTGCCAGCTGCACCCGCCACTTCTCGAGCACGATCCTTGGAAAGAAGGTCTAGACTGTCTCGTCGGCCTTGTCCTGTAGCTTTCGTCCCTGGAGTGGGAGCTGGTTTACAACCTCGCTTCTGCGTCCACTTGATCATGAAGTCCACATGCTTAGGATCGGCAGTCCAGAAGAAACCTGGCTCCTCGCAACCTGGCAACTTGTCGGTGTAGCCGATCGTCCTCTTGAGGTATGTAGTCTGCCCCACCGCTCCTGGTCCAAGTCTGGCGCTGGCCGTGACCTCAAACTGCTGCCTCAATAACTCGTCGAGCTCGTCCAGCTGCTCGTCGTAGCCTTCAGCAAGAAAGTCATCGCCATGGCAGATCGCTGTGCTATCCTCGTCGAAGGGGGCTGTGTTGGGGCTAGCAGGTAAGTAGAACACGTTAGGAGTTCCAACCAAGCATTCCCAATGGCCGTCGTCCATAGTAGTTCTCACAAGCTCACCCCACATCTGCGACGCCTTCCTGGTACCGTTCATGGCCTTGCGTAACCACCAGCACCTTCCAGGCGGACACAGCTCTCTCCCAGGATGCACGTAGATCGTCTCGTCTAAGTCAGCGTTGAAGAAAGCCTTCCTGACGTCCCAGACTTGTATCTTCCGCAGGTGCTGCCCGCTGGAAGTTGGACTTGAAGCGGCACGGCTCAGCGTCGCTCTGACAATCATGAGCGGGGGCGTGCCTTGGTGGTTGTCCTCCCTGACCTCGTACTTGTTCACCTCGGTTGCTACGAACCTCCACCTGACCTTTCCTTCTTTCATGTGGGCTATCGGGAAACCTCCAATGTGCTTGCCGTCAGTCGCCGTCGATGTCGCCACTTCCACGTAGACCCCGTAGTCCTTCATGGCCTGCAGCTCGTCGTCGCGACCCTTCTGATACAGGTCCTCATCCAGAGGCTCTCCAGTATAGTAATCGTAGTGTATCGTCTTTGGGCTCCACTGGTCTTTCTCATGCAGCTCGGCGCTCACCTCAACCATCTGCTCCACCTGCTGCTCCTCAGGATCTCCGAAGTGGCTCCTGATCGTGCCGATGTGGCTCATCAAACATCTCCTGCATGCACACTCAGCTTGGTGGCATTCTCGTAGCTGGCATCGTGACGAGTGCTTCTCACACCTCTCGGAACATCTCGCACTACGCTTTGGGTGTGGATCCCACATGGGGTCGAAGCTCTCGTCGTAGCCTTCCTCGCAGACTGCCAACTCACAGACAGAGAGATGCCCAATGCTTGCTACCCTGGGCTTCTTGACCTCAGCTCCTTCACGAGCTTCACCTGGGGCACTTCGCTGAAAGTCGCTCCTCAGCTCTCCTCTCTCTGTGTCCATGGCTGTCTGCATCTCAGCCTCTCCTGGGCCAGGAACCATAGCTACGTCGCTGGCAGCAGGTGCGGGGCTCACCGCAACCTCACTGCTGCTTGATGCCGCTGCTCCTCCTGGTGCGGCTCCAGGCGCGGGGCTACCCGCAGCCGGCGCTGGCACCACGACTGTAGCCTCAGGGGCCACAGGGTCCTTTGCCAACTTCTCGCGCAGTAAGTCGGCCTGAATGGTCTCGAAACGCTGTCGGCAGGCTGCCGAATGCGAACCGTATCCTGTACTGCACTTCCTGCACTCGTCAGTAGGACCATGAGCATCGATCATGCGCTCCGTGATGTACATGCTGCGTCCGATCGTTCCTGAACTCTTGTCGGGCGTCTGCTTCCAGGGCGTCACCCTGATGTGCTGGATGAGCTCGGGCTGCCATCTGAACTCCTCAGGCATCCTTCGCACCGTTCTGACCTTCTGCACTCCACGTTCAGGATCGATCACGAGATGTGTGTCGTCCAGCTCACTCTTACCAACCCAGATTCCTTTTGCGAAGCGGGCTTCCCATTTGCCACGTCCCGCGGCAACTCTGGCTGAGATCCGATACCAGACCTGCTCACCCATCTCCGCAATCTCGCCGTTGTACTCTTTGCCGTAGAGCATCTTGTAGGAGGAACCTCCGTGACTGCGAGGCTGGAATCTGGTAATCATCCACCCCACTGAGTTCACAAGCCATGGCACGATCGGATCCGTCATCTTGATCTCACAGCCCAGCTTGTGCTCCAGCTTCAGCTTGTAGGCTCGAAGTAGACCAGCTGCTAGCTTGTTAGCTCCTTCAGCGTAGCCTGCACTCTGCTTGGAAAAGGGCGGTGATCCCCGCACCAAGGTTGAGTGTGATCTGCGATCTCGAACTGCCTGCGCCAGAGCCATGGTGGCAGGCTCCTGGTCTGTCTGAAGTATGACTGTTGTGTGGCCCCAAGCCTCCAGCGCGCCTAGCAGGAAGGACACCTTGTAGTCATCCGTCTCCTTGTTCGCGTACAACGTCGCCTGAGCCAAGATCTTACAGTCGATAACATTCAAGACAGAGACCGCTTGGTCTAACTCGGCCTTCGTGACCGACATCTTCTCCCTGATGCTGAAGTAACCTCCTTTAAGCTTGTACTTCGCAGCCAGCTGGTCCGTCCCTACGTAAAAGATGTCGAACATGACCTTCGGGATCTTGTTCTCATCAGCTGGTTCCTGAGCGTGGTGTGGGTCATCGTCTGCTCGAGCCTGCACGCAGATGGGACACCAAGGCCGAAAAGGTAGATGATGCCCTTCGTGCGCGGCTCTCTCCGCAGCACTAGGTTGGTGAGGAGTCTTCAACACTCTCGTTGGCACAGTTGTGGTCTCATCAGCTTCAGGACCTAGAACCTTCGGCAAAGATCCAGCTTCCTGTTCAGCTGGTACCTTCCTCGGTAGCGTCTTTCGTACCGCAGCTACCTTTGAAGCTTCTGGTTGAGTCTGGCCGTCGATGATGTGATCGTACTCTAAGTAGTAGTTGCCTTGGTGACGCCGTAGAGGTACGAACTCAGCTCCGTCAGGTGGCTCGACGGTACCGTTGATGATCCAGTGACCTGCAGGGCTATGAAGAACACTCTGACCACGTTGTACTACAGCATCTGTAGCCACAACTGGGTACTCCACATCGGCAACCTCAGCACCGACTTGAATAACCTCTCCTCCTCGGGATAGGTTCAGCTCCACGTGGCCGTACCTCTCGATCTCCTCGCCTCCTATGCCCTTCAAGCCGACAACGTTGCTGTCCGTCGGCGTGTAGTTATGCTTGGTCACCTGTGATCTCGGTATCGCACTGATCTGCGCACCTGAGTCGAGCATGATCGCATTCCGAAGCGGGGCTAACCGCAATCGGTCATCTGCAGGGCTCTGATCTTCATCCACGGGCCGAAGACCAGCGACGGTAACATGCCTGGGGCCGGCCAGCGCGGGGCTCACCGCAGCTGGCACATCGCAGCACTTACTGATACTCTTTCTTGTGCTTCTTTGGTCTTGGCTTCTCGTTGTCGTCTGGCTCTTCCTCGTCCTGGAACCAGTTGTCCAGGCAGTACTCGGCACACGCGGCACAGTAGTCCAGCTTCCACTGATCGAAGTGCCATCGCCATCCTTCAAAGGTCTTCTTGCAAGAGCAGCAGACATATTGGTGGTAGCTAGGCAAGCAGTACTTCCAGTCGATCGTGTGGCTGCGCTTCTTGTGACCTCTGCCCTCAGGGCCAGAATCATCTTCGCTTGCAGCGCACAGTTGACTGGGCGCAGCACCTGCTGAGTCATCGCACTGTCGGCGCTTCCTTGACTTCCCAGCATCTGTTGTGTAGGTGCTGCCGAGCTTGTTCCTGTGCCCACCCCTGTCTGTCTTAACCTTTCGAGCTCCCTGACTGCCGCTGCCCCGATCTTCTTCTTTTCTTTTACCTTCTCTTTTCGGAGCTGCTTCTTGTCCTTCTTGTCCTTCTCGGATGTCTTCTTCTCGTCGGCGATCCGCTTGCGGCAGTTTGCGCTGCGGTGGCCCTTCTTGTGACAGTAGTTGCACTCGATCTCGGCGTCGGGATTCGGTGGCCTCTCCTTGCCTTTGCCGTCTTTCCCTTTGCCGCGGCCTTTCCACGGTCTCTTTCCGCCCTTCAGCGCTCCTATCTCCATCGGGTCGTCCTGAACCGCTCGCTCTGCCATCAACGCCGACACCACCTCGGCTCTCAGGAGCTCGTACGTACTTAACCGACTGCTGTTCCGAAACACGTGCTTCTGCAGCTCGTCGTGATCCTTCAGCGCCTTTGTAAGGATGCCTCGCTTGATCAGGTCCGAGACTGGTTCTCCTGCCATCTTCTGGTACCTCGTCATGTCCTCGTCCAGCTTGCTGATGCTCACCATCACGTCTTCTTTGGCGTCGAACTTCGTGTCCGTGAGCTTGGTCCACATCGCCAGCACGTTTCCTGCCTCGCTCGGGTTGTACTCCTTCTGAAGTTTCCTCCAACACTCGGCTCCTTCTCCTACTGGGCTGTTCCTCACGATCAGCTCGCCTACCGAGTCCTCGGGCATCGCCAGGACCAGGCCGTAGTACAACTGCGTGCTTAGCTCTTCCTCCTGCGCGTCCAGGTTGACGTTGTCCACCTCCTGGGCTCCGTCCTCGCACCTTTCCAGAAGATCTCGGTACCTTCGATCTTGGGCGATCAGGTACGCTCTGTACTGGAAACTGAACGTCTTCCAGCTCGCCCTGTGGCCGTCGAACGGCTTCACCTTGTGAAGAATCTTCGGATCCATCATCTCGCCGCGCGGGGCTGCCCGCTGCTGCTGAGCCTGTTGCTGAGCTTGAAGCTGACCTCGCATCTCTGCGATCGTCACGTCTCTGTTCTGAAGTTCCTGTCTCATGTTCTGACTCTCCGTCGTCAGCCTCTGAACTTGATCGACCAGTTGCTGCAGCTGCTGCTCCATCTTGGTAGTCGAGCACGTCGACGACACGCTTCCCTATCCTCTCGATGTCGCTCGCCAGCTGCCTCTTCACCGCTGCTCGCTCCTCCTGCGTGAGCTGCGCTCTGCTGCCGCACGCCGCAAGCTTTCTAAAGGCGGTCCCTCGGAGCTCGCGGTGCTGACGCGTGTCCGCCGACCTGCCTCCTCGCTTGTTCGGCTTCTTGGCCTTCTGCGTGGCTGCTTGGCCTCCACTGTCAGAGCGCGGGTCTGACCGCAGCTCTGACCAGCAAGGGGTCCTCTCGGCGCTCGCGTGGATCGTCCCGCCAGCTGCTGGACCCGCGGCGACACGCCGCTGGGCCCTGTCGAGGGGCTCCTTGAGCTCGCCTGGGTGCGGAGCGGCCCGCGATCCTCAAGCGAGCTCCGCTACCATGCACGCGCACCCACCCCCCTTGCGGAGAAAGGGGGGAGGTGAGGGTCGCTCTTTTTCATGAGCAACAAAGGGCTGCAGGATTTCCTGGATCCTCCAGGACAGTCTGACTATATTTTATATAATCACATATCTATGTAAAACTACAAACTTCCTAGCAGTCAGGGTCCAAAAAACACACACAGGGGATTTGCCACATTTCTGAAATTCGGTGCCACCCCTCACGCAGATCCGCGGGGTCAGGGTCCAAAAACACAGGGGATTTGCCACATTTCTGAAATTCGGTGCCACCCCTCACGCAGATCCGCGGGGTCAGGGTCCAAAAACACAGGGATTTGCCACATTTCTGAAATTCGGTGCCACCCCTCACGCAGATCCGCGGGGTCAGGGTCCAAAAACACAAGGGATTTGCCACATTTCTGAAATTCGGTGCCACCCCTCACGCAGATCCGCGGGGTCAGGGTCCAAAAACATAAGGGATTTGCCACATTTCTGAAATTCAAACCCATCACGCACATCCATCGCAAGGCGTGGTAACCCAAACTGCGAGAACTCCCTCGGCCCTTTAATCGCAAGGTGTGGTAACCAAGCACTTAAACCATACACGTCTTACCAATCGCCAGGTGTGGTAACCCCTCTTGTGATCAGTTGGTTTTGCTGATTGCGACTCGGCTTCGCATGAAGTCTCGATACTGCTTCACGACAGCGCCAAGGCCTCATGACTTAGCTCTTCCATGGCCCATTCTCCGAGAGAAGGGGCCGGCGGCAGGGGGCGAAGCCCTTACGGATAAATTCAGGCGGGAGCCCACTCCCTGCGGGGCCCGCACTTCATGTTCGAATCCGAACGGACCATCGGCAAAATCTACCAAACATAACATTGAGGCAAGCCGTGAAGATTTCTCCAGCGTGGGCTTCGTCTGTGAATGACCTGCAAACAAATTTTAGGCAAGACCCCCCTCCTTATGGGGCCAGCGCTTCATGTTGGTAACCTGGGCGGGTCATCGGCGAACTTTACCGGGCCAAACACTTGGCCACCCCAATGCGCAAGCCGCGCGGATTTCTCCAGCGGGGGCGTCGTCTGCGAGTGAACTGCAAAAGAGCATCAAGCAGGAATTCCCTCGCTATGGGGCCTGTACTTCATGCTGGTAGTCCAGGCGAGTCGTCGGTGAACTATACCAGACACGACACTTGAACGCCCCGAAAGGGCAACCCGTGAGGACTTTTCCATCGGGGGCTTCGTCTGTGAGTGAACTGCGAGACGGGAACCCCCTCGCTACGTGGCATGCGTTTCACGTTGATAATCTGGGCGGGTCATCGGCGATTTCTGCCAAGCGTAACAGTTGAGCACCCCAGTGGGGGCACATCGTGGGGATGTCTCCAGAAGGGGCCTCCTCTGTGAGTGAACCGCCATGGCGTCTCAGGCGGGAGCCTCCCCCGTGTGACGTTCGCACCTCGCGTGTGTAATCCAGGCGGGTCATCGGCGAATTTTCCCAGACATGCAGAGCACTTGAGCGCCCCAGGAAAAGCGAATCGTGAAGTTTTTTCCAGCGGGGGCCTCGTCTGTGGATGAATTGCGAACAGAAGCACAGGCGGGGGGGCCCTCCCCATGGGGCCCGCACTTCACATTTTCAATCCGAGCGGGTGGTCGGCAAAGTCTACCAGGCATAACATTTGAGCACCACTAGCCACATGGCTGAAGTCTCGAGCGGGGGCTCCGTCTGTGAGTGAAACGCGAAAAAATCGCGAGTCACTCTGGTGCACGCGCGTCACGTTGGCAGTCCGAACTGGTTTCGAACTTGGGTTCCTCAAGATTGAACGCGGAAGCGGTATCGAACGGGAACCTCGCCAGTGAGAGAATCCGCGAGGAACTCTCGGGCGGGGGCCCTTCGGCATGGGGTCCCCAACTCCACGTTCGAATCCGAGCGGGCCGTCTGAAACCTGAAACTGTCGTCGCTTCTGGGCTCCTCAGGCTTGACCCTGGAGGAAGTCTCGAGAGGGGCCTCGTCTGCAAGTGAATCGCGAGAAAATCTCAGCGCGATCCCCCTCTGCACGGGGCCTGCACCTCGTGCTACCAATCCGGGCGGGTCCGCAAGAATTCGCATGTCTTGTTACTTGTAAGCACCTCAAGAACGAAAATTGGTACCAAGGCTGCCCGACGCGGGCTCCTTCGAACCGCAATGTTCCAGTCGCCGTCGAAGCTCCCATAACAAAAGGTGACGCGGGCCCTCGCTGGCCACCCCGAGCGGGGTCACTTAGGGGCCCCTTCGGGCAGTGGCGGCCCCTTCTGGCCGTAGCGGCGAAAGCGCGTAGAAAATCGGCACGCACGCCCCGGCCAGAAGGAAGGGGAGGTGCACGAGGACAGCAGGCGGGGTGGAGAGGAGGAGAAGGAGAAAGGAACAGGTGGAGGACGACGAGGAAAAGTACGAAGAGTAGGAGGAGGAGGATGATGATGATGAGGAGGAGGAGGAGGAGGAGGAGGAGGAGGAGGAGGAGGAGGAGGGGGAGAAGGCGGAGGAGGAAGAGGAGGAGGAGGAAGAGGGAGAGGACCAAGACAAAACCAAAAATGCCATGGACAACACCTCAGACTGAGGAAAACAAAACAGGTTGCCTCATTTGAAGGGTCAATACTCTCTGAGTCCCTGCGCGGGCTAAAACCAGCTGTCATTCAGCTGGAGGAAACAGCCCCCGCTGGCCCCGAAGCCAGCCCCAAAGCAGGGAGAGCCCTGCGGGGTGCCTGCAGGCACCGACCGAAGAAAACAGTTCAACGACGTCTCGTGCTGCGCTGCCACCGCGCGGGCTGGCGCCGGGGTCGGGTGCGAGCCTCGTTGGGTCGCCCTATATTGCCCTCCCCCCTATCCTCGGCGGCGGCAGCGACCCCCCCCCATCCCGTTGACCAGCCCGCTCCCCGCCGTCCCCACCACAAGCCTGTCCGCCCCCGCTCCCGCGCGAACGTCCTGACCAACGCCACGTTGGACGAGTTCGCGAAGCCGCTCGCTGCTCTGCAAGGCAGCTGTGAGAAAAAGGGGTCGAGCGCACGAGCCTCGGGAGGAAACGGAGCGACGAGAGAGCAAGGGCGAGGGCGAGAACGAGGGAGGAGAGGGGCAAGAGAAAACTCAGGAACCTCAGAAGCCTCAGAAGTTGGGCGCCTGAGTGTCGCAGACCTCCCATGCTCAACGTTCAAGCGAGAACTGCCCACCACAGACCCCCCCCTCCCAAGCTCATCTTGAGAGAGGTTCCCATGCCCAAGCCCGCAAGACTGAGTAAACAAGAGCGACGGTGAATAACCCCGATCATCATGCAATTGGCTCCCAGATCCAAGAAACTGAGGCAGCCCCGCGATGAAATCCCACGATCGTGCTGAGACCTAGCAGGCAGTAGACGCCCACTTCCACGAGACTGAGTCGCCGACGAGGAAATCTCTCGGCCACTCGGAGAACTATCAACGGGCGCCCCAAGCCCAGGAGATTGAGAACTAGATCCATGAAGATGCTGATATTCCCCGCCGCGACCGCATAGCTCGCAACCCGAACCGCCACCGCGCCTGGGGAAATGCTGATCACTATCGGTATGAGGTGCGCGCGCGACTGCGGACGTCATCGCGTCGCCCCCGGGCTCTAGCGAAGGAAGAATGCTCGAGGTCCCATCGTTAAGCGTCACAACACACTTGGTAGCAGCACCGCGCTCCACTGCCTGCTACAATCTCCGAGCAATAAAAGTTTGCCTCATTTCTTCTTGCTCAGAATAATCAAAATTTGGCGCTCGAGCGGGCCCCCGGGAGCGGCTCCGACTGGGCGGCGCGCGCCGATCTACTTCATCATCTCGGCCAGGATCTGGAGACAAGCTGCGCCCGCGAGACGCTGGCCCTGCGCGCGGACCTGGATCTTGACTTCGCCCTTCATCTTCGCGCTGCGATCGCCCCTCGGCGCTCTGATCGAGGAGTGGGCGGCGCATTCGGCGACGTAGCTTGCGAGGTTGTTGTGGACATGCTTGTTCCAGCACTCCAGAGGACAAGGCGCGCAACGAGGGGGGCGAGAAGGAGGGGGGGGCGGAGGACGGGGGGGAGGGGGCGCAACAGAGGGCGGGAGGAGGGCCTCCGCCAGAACGAAGAGGAACAAATGAGCAACAAGCTAAATCCGCCGACCCCAGAGGCGCGCGCGGAATCCTCTGCGCACGTGCCAAAAGATCCCACCCTGCAAAAAAACGCCCCGGGAACTTCCCGCCCTGTCTCCACCGCGCTCCCACCTCGCTCCCACCGCGCCTGGCGCCGCCAGCCTCCTGGCCTTTGGCGCTGAATTCTTCGTATCCACCCATGCTGCAAACGTCGCCTTGGGACCCTCCCGCCCTGCTTCCACCGCGCACTCACCGGACCACCCCATCGGAACCTCTGTTCTTGGGCCCCCCCACCCAACACTTCCTGGCCGAGAACAAACCCTCGCCGCAACCCTGTCTCCACCGCGCCTGACATTCCCACCCCGCCAGACCACCCCATCGGGACCTCTGTTCTTGCCCCCCCCCCACCACCCGACAATTCCTGCCCCAGAACCCACCCTGACCCCCAACCTGCCCCCACCACGTCTGACATCCCCACCCCGCCAGACCACCCCAGCGGGACTCCTGGTCTTGGGCCCCCCCACCCGACAATTCCTGCTAAGAACCCACCCTGACCTCCACCCTGCGTCTACCACGTCTGACATACCCACCCCGCCAGACCACCCCATCGGGATGTCTGTTCTTGCCCCCATCACCCGACAATTTCTGCGCCCCGGCACCCCTCGGGCCTCTGTTCTTGGGACCCCACCCAGACAATTTCTGGTCTGAAACCTACCCGACAATGCCAATCTGAAGCCCCACCCGACACTTCGGACGCCCCCACCCGACAATTCTAATCTGAAATCACCGATGCCCCCCCGCCACGCCCCGGCGCCTCCAGGCCTCTGGAACTCTGTTCTCGGGGCCCCCCACCCAGCAAATTCTGTCCTGAAACGCACCGACGCCCCCCCACC